GAATACCTTTAAATATGGCTCAGCAGTGACTTAAACATTTAAAAAATTGTAGGTTGCTCTCTAATATTGATCTTCACTGTAAATAAGCAACGCTAAAATAACAATTCTTCGGTCAAACTTAGAAACTGCTGAAAGTTCATGTTTGTTGCAAGCAGCGTGAGCCCAGCTTTAAAAAGAATAATCTGCAACAGAAGCAGCTCAAGGGTGAAAAACACCAGATCCCAATCGGTCAAAAATACATATGCTTTCATTTAACCAGCCGACAGATTCTCAACAATATTGCATCTTTCATAACTCCTTAAAATAATGTTAGACAGCTGGCTTTTGGATAAAGAGTTTTAGAAGTAATTTTATACATTTAATGAGAGCTTCTGCATCTTCAGCTAGTGGTGATGTGCTGTATGTGATGAGAAAGAGGCGGCAATAACACAAAGTTTATGCAGAAGCTAATGTAAAATATGTTCCTACCATTATGTAACATACTGAACACATATTCCTGCTAAAATAAACGAACAATGGGAAAACATTCAGTCAGGACAAAATATGTAAATTATATAATAACCAACAAATGCTGTCTGAAACCTTTTTTGAACCTTGAGATGTACTTTTAAATCTTAATGATTTTTTTTGTCTTATTATAGAATCTAACCACACAAAAGTCTCTAGGCTACTCGGCGATTGCATTCTCCTAAAGGCCTTCCTTCCCTCTTGTCTGGGACACAAAACATTTTTCCACCTGCTTTTCTGTGCTCTGATTCAACAGCAACATTCTACAGCAAAATTTGCACACCCAGTGTCCTCAAGCAAAAGGAAGTCGTTTAGAAATGACAAAACCAGGCAACACATCGCAGAGTTTATCTCCTTCCTGCCATTTTTAACCACATAAAATGCATCATTAGGAGACAAATTTCAGCAAGCAGCAATCTGAATGCAACGGTTAAAGACAAACGTATTATTTGCTTATACTTTAACGGTGATGCACTTATTTCATTAGCAATCAAAGCGTCTCTCTCTCCCTACAGGAACTCACTTGGCAGCTTGATTGAATATCAGTGTCTGGTTTGGAGCTCCCCAGACAATCACACAGCTAATGGAAAAGTTTGCGATTCGAGAACAATTACTTTCTGTGCCACAAGAAATGGGATGTTTAAAGGCTCATAAAGGGTTCAAATTTGCATTGCCTAATGTGGAATTTTCTGCCAGATCCTGAGTTACAAATATATGTTACAAGCTACTGAAGCATATACATCATATACTGTTGGCAGACATTTTTGGAACAGTGGTCTTACCCAGGAGAGCCGCAACAATGTCATTGATGTGGTAGAAAAGAGATTTTTCTACTTTAGTTCTAACATGGCCCATAATCCACCTAAAGGTTGCTGGGCAACACTGCTAGGCCTGGACCAAATCCCATCAATCCACCTATCCTGTTTTGACGAAAGCCAAGCCCATGGAATGTCAATAGTTGGCTTAACAGCATAATATGTTGTAACTAGAGCTATATCTATTATGATAATGGGTGTGAGTCAAACCCATTCACAAAGAGCGGGATTTTAAAAGCTTACTTAGGGTTACAACAGAGAACACATTACTTTTGTTTAAAAAAAAAAATCATGTTTTTAATCTTTAAGTAGGTGATCTAAAGTACATATGTACCATGGGAGAAGAGGAGGGCAATGACTTCAGCTAGGTCAATGACACCAAGTATGTTCACTCATACATTGGTGAACTGTGAAAAACAAATGTTATTGAGGGGTAAAAATAATTTATTTGTTTAGCATTTAAGATAGATTACTTTAGTTTATTTATGACTAACATAAACATGAATCATTTTCATAATAATATATTAGTTTGAAATGTTAATAAATCTTTCTTTAAGTTTTTGAAGTCTCTTATTTTGTTTTACTTGATTTATAAACTGGATTAACATGAATACATCCCAGATTAAGTAAGCTTCAAAAGACATGTTAATATGAATTCATAAAAAAAATAGTTTGATTTCAGTAGAACAAAAATAAAAGTACACTTGTTTGTTTTAAAGCAAACATCAGGCTACCTTGAAGAAACACTTAAAAAAAAAAAAAAAAAAAGGCTCATTTTACAACTCCCCAAGAGTTAAACAGTTGAGTTTTATTGTTTATGAATCTAACAGCCAATACTTGGGTCTGGCAGGAGTACTTTAATATCATTGCGCCAGCTGCAAACATGGTACAGCAGCAAGTTCCTTGATTTTTACACCAGAATGAGAGTATAATTCCTACATATTCCTCTAGGATTTTGTCCAGCTGTGGCAGCAGGCCTTTTACGCAGATCTACAACCACATATGGCGTTATTTCAATGACAAATGTCGTGAGCGCAGTATTACCAGTCGAGATCACATTCATGTAATACAGGCAAGCGAATCTCTTTGTTTGCGTGCTGATTTCCTCTGTTCGTGTGCAAAACTTCTTGCACGCCCTCAAATATACTCCACTCAAGCTCAGATTTTCTTGTGTGCTCTCAAATAAACGCTTCTGAAGAGCGATTTAGTGCTTTTATGTAACAATGTCTCCAACATTTATTAGATATAAACTCCAGCAAGATAAAGTCACTGTATGCAGAGCCATGGACCTTTATCTATAAAGTATAATTATGGAAACTGTGTTCATCGTAACAGAAAGCTACGTCATGTTTGCTAGCCTCACGCATCACGCACCTATCAGTCAGTCAGCCTGTCACCTTAAAAGGTTAAACAAATAATGCACAGCTCTACTGCGGTTGCAGAAAAGTTTGCGCTGTAATAATTCACTTACATTTTAATACGTTTTGGTGCGATTAGAATCCGTTATTAAAAAACAACGACTGAATGTTTGTAATGTAGCCATGGCGGGATGAATTTTGATGAATTTTGACCTGCTATGAAAAAATAAATGTAGCAAAAACCATGCTGGGCATATGAACCTAGAAAGTAGCAACTTTTAATTTTTTTAGTCAGTCTCATTACACAATCAAACTACAGAAAAGTCAAGCGTTAAAACTTGAAATTTATCTAAACTCTTTTTAACTTTGTAATCAAGATGCTATTGGTCTAATCCGATTCAATGATTTATGCTCAGCTGAGCTAAAAGTGCTCACGCCATACCCAGAGATTGGCTGCATGTATTCGAAAATGGAAAAACTCAACTGTTTAACTTTAGGGGACTTGTAAAATGAGCCTATTTCTGAAAAAAAATTGAGTGCTCCATTAACAAAAAGCTTTTCACAGGTCACTACATTTGATAAACATTTAAATTTAATACATTTAAAATATATACATTCAAAAGAAGACACACTCACTAAAAACATTCATCCTTGTCCAGTGTCTGTGCTTTTTCTCTCCTATAGTTATTAGTGTAATTTTCAAAAAAATGTCCTGCTTACTTGTTTAAAATAGATTGGTTTGAAAAACGGAATCCCCTCACAAATGCACTTGTCAACATGTCTATTATTTTGTTTCTGCTGACTCAAGTCATTTGTTGTCATTCTTGTTCTCTCTCCTTCATTTCTTTTCTGACTGTTAAACAATGGCCCAGTTCAGAGTTGAGACTGTGTGCTCAAACTAACAAGTGCAAAAACAGGAAGCTTGAGCTCCAGACTGTCATGAGCGTGTTCGGGACCATTTGCTGTGAGTGTATTCAGTGTATTCTAAGGAGCCACTGACATTGATTTTACTTCACCTATATATACTTTTTTTGACCATTAAAGTGCTGATAGACATTGACCTGCTATTTATGAATCACCAATGAAAAAAAAGTTCAGTTATACCATTTATTTAATATTCTACTGAAGACATTTCATTTTAAAGTACAAACAGAGTAAAAAACTCAGCAAAAATGATTTGTTCTGATCCAAAAGTGACGGCAAAATTTGTAATTAAGGTACATCTGTCACTCTGTGACAACATCGCCACCAATTTGAGGAGAGAAACACGCGCAGTCAGTCACACAGGAAGTGCATTCCTTCCTTCACAGCAACTGCCCACCCCACATACCCCGCTGCTGTTTGTTTAAACTGGCTGATGATTTGTGGAGATTAAGCTTTCACAAATAACCTACTCCCTAATGACCCCCCGTGCCCGGCCACAAGCTTCCGTGACCAAGCACGAAGGCTCAGAGGCGGGGGAGATGAACCCTCCGGGGGATCATACCATCCCAAACACAACCAAAAGCCCATCTCTGCCCTGACCCACTTCTTCATTTAGATCAGCAGGGACTCCTGGGAGGTTAGCCCAGTGTTAGAGGGTGTGGTCAAATATGCTTTCTCTGATGAATTTAGCAGTGGCCTGCACGGAGCAGCCATTGGGTCACCCTTACCCAAAACCGCAGTGGAAAGCTGCTATTTAACAGATGCACCGGCTGGACACTGACAGACACAACTGAATTGGGCCTGAAAACAGCTATTTTCTGCCCAGATAAGCAAAGACAGATTGGCTAGAGCATTCAGACCAATACTATGATTGGTATTCCATTCAGAATCCCCATGGTCACAGACAAAAATACCGAATTTTGTTTTCCTAAACTTTGTCCTGTCTTATGGCAGTGCTTCTAACTTAAGAATTAGAAATAAACAGGTCTGAAAGAAAAAGACTACAACAACGAAAACGAGGAGAAAAAGCGTGACCCAAAAAGATAAAAATCTTTCATTTGTAGCAGATGTTATTTTATGGGCTCTGAATGAGCAGACGGAAAACTGGAAGTGACATCGCACATCAGTGAAGAAAGAGGTTATTGAGAACATCTGCTGTTAGGCCACACTCAGACTGCTGTTGTCACAGTGGTCAGCATGTCTTAGAAACACAGCTCCGTTTTGGGAGGACTGTTTCAGACCATGTTTGGTCTGAAAAAGCAAGACGTTTCTCATGGGAATGAAGAGTGCGTTATGTGAGATGATATGCTGCCTACACTTGACGGTTCATATTCATGTGCTCAAAGGCTGCAGTCGCTTGAGAACTCACAGTTGAGCGAACACAAGAGTGTCTCACCTCAGCTTGTCAGCCACGAAGATGACCCTTCGTTCCAGCAGCAGAGAGGCAAAAACACGAACCACCTGTCGTACGCTCAGGCAGTTGAACAGACTCTCTAAGTCCACGTGCTCCAGTCTAGAGTCCATGGGCCTCCTTAACTCAATCACCTGAGAGGAATACAACACAGTGAATTAACATAAGGAGCAATATGAATCTTTTGAATAATTTGAATAAATTATTTTATTTATGAATTTTTAAGTTGGAAATCGAAATTGTTACAACTGGATACTATTTTTTCCCATCCAGGCAGCAGAAAAAAATAGGATGCTAAGAAAGTTATTACATTTTTCTGTAAGAGCTTATTCTTTAGAATAACATACAATTTTGCTGCTTGTTCAAACTACTCACTTAAAATGAACTGAAACAATACTGTTCTTGAGTTTACTTAAAAACAACTTAATTATTTTTTGTTCAATCAACTTATAATTACACAAACCTTTAAGTTAACTTAATTTGTGTTAAGACAAGATGAAGGGATTGTGTGGAATATAGCTTTTTTATAGTCTAAATCAAGCACAACAGGACCAGAGACCATTATTAAGAAAGTATGTGTTAGTATGCACTGATTTTCCAGCAAAAGTGTTTTGTGGTTATTTATGGCTATTTTTTTTTTTTGTATATTTTTTATAAAGAACTCTGTATTTGTATTTGTAAAGAGTTACAATAATTATAAAACTCTGTATAAACATTAAATTATTATTGTTATTATTATTATTATCATCATCATCATCATCACAATCACCAGCGACCTAGTCTATACAAATCACTGGAAAACTACAAATCTGCCACCAAAAGAACTACAAATCCCATTTCACCTGTTCACACACACACCTGTTCTGGATTACTGATGATGACAAACACATACGGATACACATCAGTGAATCATTACTTAGACTATAAAGACACTTCTGAAATACTTTTTTTTTTGATGGTCCCTGTTGCACATTTTGTTGACTAAAAGATGCTTTGAAACTACATGCCAATTACTTCTCAGTTGAGTATTAGTAGTCTGCTTAACATCTATTGATGCTGTTCCTTCAACAAATTTAACTGACTATAAGAATTTTTGCAAATACATGTCAACCTACACTGACCCTTACCCTAACCTAAAAGTCTACTTATAATCTAATGAGAATTAGTTGGCATGTAGATGCAATGTAACTTAAATTCAACAAAATGTGTTAAAGGAACCATCAAAATGAGCAACACATATTGCTGAGTCTTGTTTTATCCCGTGTAACATTACAAAGCGCTTTTCCTTGTTTTTCTTGCCATGTTTTAATCCTTGCTTTGTTTATCCGTTTGGATTCTTTGCTGCCTATCCTGACCTTTTGGTCGTATACTGACCATATATTTTGAATTACTTTTGTGATTCTGTTTTGCTACAGTTTTGACCATTGTCTGTCTGACTACTCTTATTATTAAAGAACTATAGATCCTCATCCCCATTGTCAACGTCCTTACCTTAGAATTATTGTTATTATTATTATTTATACTTTTTTATTATTATTTAACAATGATTAAATTAAAACTTATAAGTAATGAAATAAATTAATAATATTTTTATTGAAACCACAGATAAATTTCAAAAAGTAGGACTGTAAACTACATAAATGAACAGCCTGACCGTGTAAAAATAAAAAAAATAAAATAGTAGTCGTTAATTTTACATTATTCCACGTGTTCCACATGTACTTACTATAGTAATAACAAAAATAATTTATAATTACATGCAACTAACCCTAAACCAAACCCTTGCAAACTGTTAGTGAATGTTGTTAGCTAAAATCAATTAGCACTTAAATGTATAATTGCAGAGTAGCAAAGACAACGTAAAATTAAGCGGAACCAAATAATCTTTACTGTTAAGGCCAAAAATGTCAATATTAAATGGATAGTTTACCCAGAAATGAATATTTTGCCAACATTTACTCACTCATCACTTAAAAACCTATTTTAGTTTGGAACACAACAGAAGACATTTTGAAGAATGCTGGTTGCTGACACCCATTGACTCCCAAAGTAATGTTTTGTTGATGGGTGCAAGCAATCATTCATTCATTCACTTTCCTTCGGCTTAGTCCCTTTATTAATCAGGGTCGCCACAGCAGAATGAACCGCCAACTTATCCAGGATATGTTTTACACAGTGAATGCCCTTCCAGCTGCAACCCAGTACTGGGAAACATCCATACACATTCATTCACACTCATACACTATGGACAATTTAGTTTATTCAATTGACCTATAGCGCATGTCTTTGGACTGTGGGGGAAACTAGAGCACCAAGAGGAAACCCACGCGAACAAGGGCAGAACATGCAAACTCCACACAGATATGCCAACTGACCCAGCGATCTTCTTGCTGTGAGGTGACAGTTCTAACCACTGAGCCACCGTGTCGCCTGCAAGCAATCATCATTCTTCAAAATTTCTTCTTTTGTGTTTAACAAAATAAAGGTTTAAAACCACACAAGGGAGAATAAATAATGAGGTCATTTTCATTTTTGAGTGAACTATCCCTTTAATATCATGTAGCCTCACATCTAGAGATTATATTACATTTGTTTCATTAAGCATTGAATAAATGCGTACTAATCTGCAGCAGCCTAACCTCATTTCCTGCTCCAGGCAGGAAGGTTTTGACTTTTATGGTTTTGCCTGGTGCTGGGAAAGGCGACTCCATCACACTTCTCATGAAAGGATACACCAGCGCAGCTGAGATCCCTCTCCTCCTCTCCACCTCATCAAGAATCTGTAATAAACGAAAGCATAATAAGCTGATGGAGAAAAAAAAAACGACAACAGCAGGCATTACATGCAGACTGTGACACTGCTACTGGCTTTACACGTTACAAAAAACTGATGGATTTTATGTGGTCTGTTTCTTCTTTCCCGTCAGATATATGAGTGCGGAAGTCTCTGGAATTCTAACCTGTCACTTACAAGTCATGGTTTTCATCTGCTACATGAGGGTGTAAAATCAGAGTGACGAAAACTAGCACTTTCAATTTCCACTGAATATTATAATAACAAAAGTTGGATGCAAGTTGGTTTTTGACTTCCTCACTTTCCCTCCAGTGGAAGGTGGAAGTGAAGGAAATAATATTGGTTTAATAGGCCAGAGAGAAAGACAGATGTACTAAGTTGGATGTTGGTCAATGCCAACACAAGCCTTGCTGCAGCTGTGCCCATGTCTGACAGCCAGAGAGACCATGTGGAGGTGTGTGTTTGTGTGTATGTGTGTGTGAAAGAGAGAGCAAGCCTGAGCTCACCTTGGAAAACAGGTTGAAACAGCCCAGTCGACTGATGACACAATAGACTTCAGGAAGGCGAGGCCCTTTCCCACTCGGCTGCAGGTGCGGGGAAAAGATTACACAAGCAATTAAATCACACACATGAAGTAACTGGAGGCTACGCAGCATATGAAAGTATCCAGGTGATTTCAGCAAGATGTATGTGGTACTAAATCACATCTGTGAAAGGTGAAATTGAGTAGAAACCAAAGTTTTTTTGTGGTGCTTGCATGTGCAAAAAGTTGACGCCACAATGCTGGGTTATTTCTATATAGTCAAGCGCTTTTTATAGTTTTGCTACTGCATGCAATTTTTGGGGGGTTTGTGTGGACAACAGCCAAATAGATATTCTGATTACTAGATATGACTTTGGTCTCTTAGCATAACTTGAATTTGTAATTATTTTATGTTTTATCACCTAGCAGACACAAAGTCACACTACTGTTCAAAAGCTTTATAATAATTTTGAAAAAGTCGGCAACACTTCACTTGAAAGGGGGTGGTCATAAGAGTTATGAACTGTTCATAATCATGACATAACATATACACAGATAATTGAGATTTTATGCATGCTTATCGAAACTGTCAAGTTTCATTAGCTCAGTTGTCCTTTTAAAACGGTCATTTTTTGAGATCTTTATAACAACTTGACTTTACCAAGACAACAAACCAGTCAGTGTGTTTTTCGGGGGTTATAAAAAAATACTCAAAATGAACAACCTTAATTTTTGGTAAAGTATTTGCCCTGTGTGCTGTAAAATGATGTAAAAGTCACATTAATTCCTCATAACCATTCACACTGCTGTCGGATTGCAACACATCAGCTTTTTATCTGATTTAATACCACATATGAAAGTGGCACAAATTAGAATTGAAAAGATGAGATACCATATGGATTCCATATTCCATACATATGGGCAAGAAAAAAAATCAGCTTTGGGCCACAATTACCTGAAGTGTAAATGTAGCCTATGTTACATAGCTGCCCCTTGTTGGTCATGTCTTTCTTGTATTAGACCTTTTTGTGCGGTACCACAAAACACTGCAGCATTGCGTTTGGTAGGTGCGTTTGGAGTATTAACATTTTTAATGAGAAATTTTAATAATAATTTCATTTTGTTTCATTGAACACATGATCAGAAAAATATTCATGATAGTTACAAAGGCATCATGGCCATCATGTTTATGACAGATTTATGACAAGTTATGCTGTCTTAGTAATATCAAGTGACAAAGACAAAGGCAGTTTGTGATATCATTGTTTATGTCAAGTTGTCATAACGAATGCATCTCATATAATCTCACCTTTGCATTTAAAATGACATAAATGATAAAATCACGTGGATAAACTCTCCTTCATTTGCATGTCATATCATGATTACAAAGGTGTCATGACAGTCATACTGTATGAACACCGCCATCAGGTAAAGTGTTACCTTTAGGTTAAGTGATTTGTAGAACCTAATTTAATGCTGTCATTTACTCCTGTGATGGCAAAGCTACATTTTCAGCAGCTATTACTCCAGTGTCACATAATCCTTCAGAAATCATTCTGATGGAGCTTTTTTGGTGCATAAAGTGACAGTTCAAACAAAAATGAAAAATGAGTCATCATGTAAACACTCTGCAGCTATTCTGCAGCTGTATGCCTTCTTTCTGTTTCACACCACAAAAGAGGAAATAAAAAAAAAAAACTTTTGTGGTTGTTCATATATTCAGAGTGAGAAGCAAACACAAATGCATCACAAAATGGACCCATGAAGCATGTGCTATATATTCCAAGCATTGTGTTGGTATGCTGTAGGATTTTTAAACAAAATTTTATAAAAAATATATATTATTTAACAAAAATTGTGCATTGCAGACTCATAAAAAGCAGATATATTATTCTGTTTTAAATCGCTTCTTCTCTAAAGTGAATACACCTGCCGTGTTTGTCACAACACCTTCATAACAATATGACATTCATCAGTGGAAAAACACAATGTTATTTTTAATTCATTCATTCATTCATTTTCCTTCGGCTTAGTCCCTTTATTTATCAGGGGTCGCCACAGCGGAATGAACCGACAATCAACATCATCAAAACATGAAAAAGCAATGCCTTAAAATTAACCAAAAAAAATTTGTTTGGGGGCGTCAAGGTGGCTTAGTGATTAGTACTGTCACCTCACAGCAAGAAAGTTGCTGGCTCGAGCCCCAGCTGGGCCAGTTAAATTGGAGTTTGCATGTTCTCCCCGTGTTCGTTTGGGTTTCCTCCGGGTGCTCCTGTTTCCCCCACAGTCCACAGACATGCGGTATAGGTAATTGAATGAACAAAATTGGCCATAGAGTCTGGGTGTTTTCCAGTGTTGGAATGCAACCGAAAGGACATCTGCTGTGTAAAACATATGCTGGATAAGTTGACGGTCCATTCCACTGCGGCAACCCCTGATTAATAAAGAGACTAAGCCGAAAAGAGAAGAAATGAATGAATATTGAGATTTTAATTAGTTTTATTGCTAGTTTCATTGGAAATTGTTCATGTCCTATTGTTTAAATTTACTGAGTAAATCTAATCAACAAGATTATTTGATACAAAGTTAAAAAGAACAGCATTTATTTAAAAACAATATCCTGTACCATCCTCAACAAAAGTCAGACCTCTCTTTTTCAAGCCATTGGTCTCTGTACACAGACATTGTGATATGTGTGATAATTATGTACAGAAGCATGTTCTATTTAGCATTGGCAAGCATCACTAAAACTGAAACTTTGAGAAGTAGAAATAAATTAGAGAAAGAGAGAGAGAGAGAGAGAGAGAGAGAGAGAGAGAGAGAGAGAGAGAGAGAGAGAGGGAAATCTCAGTTTTGCTGCTCACCAAATTGCAGCTTAAAACATAAAAGCCACATCAAAGGGATTTAGGTGAGTTAAAATGAGAGCCATAGTTTCACGCTGTTTAAATGGATTTTTAAAGCTTTTCTTCAAAACGTGGGGACAGAATCGTTAAAATAATTACCCCTTTTAACTACTGTCATCCCACGCTACATTTTATAAACTGTGCGTTTAGCATTCAGTTCATAACCTGAAATTTAACACACGCAATAGTGCAGTCTAAAATGGATGCATGCTACAAAATGGATACAGAAGGTCCAGTGTAAACACAGCACAGGTGCAGTTCCACAAAACAAATGAGTTGTCACATGCAATCCACTAAACAATTGAAAGTCTGGCTATTTTCTAGGAGTCCAACCAGGTTAGTGTCTCTCAAAAGCACACAGGCACAAAGAATCCCCCCATTCCTCTTGTCCATATTAGGTATGCAATTCTCCTCTGCTGACTTTTTACAAATGGATGATTAATTCAAGCATGCGGAGCTGGGTTCAAATCCTCAGGAATGCCGCCCTCATGCCAGCCCCTGGACTTCCTCCCTGCAGGGAACACAGTCAACACTTCTCTCCACTGGGCCATTCAGATGCTCAAATAGAAGAGGCGAGAGAGAATTGAAGCTAAAGAAATCCCACAAGTAATAACGAATCACTCTAAATCTAAATACAAACAACACAAGGCCACGTCTAATAAAGCAGATATGCTACTAGAGCATATCAATTACACATTTCTCTTCTTCTAGCTAATTTCTCAACAGTTAACATGCACTTTAAAGGGCACCTATGATGAAAATTATCTTTTGGAACAGTTCGTTTAGACAGAACTTTGTGCAGGTATAGTGTGTTCAAAGTCATATTGGGGTGATATTAAGACAATAAGTCTCTTTATTTAAATTTCCTGATGTTAAAATAGGATCCAAATCTCTCCCAAATTGAGGCCCACCACAACGTGATGTAGGAGTGCAGTTTCTCCGCCCACCGAATTGGTTGACAGCCGCATATTAACATGTCTCAGTAGTAACGTGTATAATCATATCCACAAGAGAGGACGTGCATGAAGCAACTAGGATTAAAAGATCTGTTGAGCTCTCTTTGATCAGCAATCATCATCAAATGTGATCAAGAATGAGATTTACAAGTTTAAAATATTAAAAAACAGTGCATGCTTGAAAGGAATTACAGCGGATTTAACAGCGGTTTTTATCACCACAGCCACATGTCTGTACAATTACAAAACAAGACGATTCAGTTCCAATTTGCGGATGTTAAATCAGGTTTATTTCGTTACATAACGAATATCCATACAGCAGTGGACTTACCATGTATCCTGTCACATTAACGACATTGTAACGACATCGCTGTGACTTATTGTTGCAGAAGGTCTTGAATAACTCCACAACAAATACATCAAATAATCATTGGGAAAGTTTTTACTGTAGTATTATTTCTCAAAAAGTTACGTAAGATTTGCTTCCTTCATGTCTGTCACTGTGCTGTTTATCCGACGCACATTAGCCGGAGATCGGTGGACGGGGAAAACTAGCATTAAAGGTACAGCCAACAACAGCTACATTGTGTTCAGAACAGAAAATTCCAATTCTGAAAGGTAAAATTAATAATCTGATGGGTATTTTGAGCTGAAACTTTACAGACACATTCTGGAGACCCAAAAGACTTATATTAAATCTTGAAAAAGGGGTAAAATAGGTGCCCTTTAAATGCAAAACATATTAATTGTACATAAAAAGCAGTTCATTTTAACTGTACAAAAATGAAAACCACAACATGCAGCTCATCACAACATCCAAAGAACAATAATCACTGCAAAACTCCAAAGGCACGCAAATTTATAAGCGAATCTTACGGCACAATGACATCTTTTGATGGTTTGCGTTTCCATTCGTCTCCTGAGAAACTCTCATTAAACCAGAGGAGAAACTTTACGAGAATCTGTTTCTCTTTGAGCACAAAAAAAAAAGAGCAAACCAAACACTTACTCAAGTGACTGACCTAAACCTCCATCCATATACTTGCTCTTTAACTACAACGTGTGATGCAATATACAGTATACATATGGTTTGACCAACAAAAGAAGTAAGACTGTGACAAAGGCCCTCACCAGAAGCCGTCTGCAATATCCAAATCGTCTACTGCCATCTTCTCCAGTGAGCATGAAAGAGAAGGTCTCACTGTAAAAGCAAATAAAAAACGACCACCATTAGTCCCCAATCCCCCGTGCAGATCAGGTGATAAGAAGGAAAAGTGTTTAAAACCACTTGAGAAGAAATGCTCTTGAGACTGACGACTTTGCCTTTGAGGCGTATCCACTGCGGTTAGAGGACTTTATCAGGCAGCTAAAATGTTTGCAGGACAACTAAAGAACTTGCTCAAATTACCCAGGGTTTATAACACGGGGCATTTGGCCTTGAACGCTTCAATTTCTCAGTTCGGTAGATGAATAGATTGTGCAATAGTGTTATTGCTGCCCTAAACTAAACAATGTGGCTGCCTTGCCTTTAAAGGCACATATCCAACAAGTCTCGAAAAATGCTCTTGAAAGTATACCACTTTCTCCAACAAATGTGATTTAAGCCCCGTGTGATATGTTGTGTTTTTTCAGTTTGCTCTATTGTAAATATTCTGATAATGTAAGCAAACATACTCTTTTTCATGAAAAGGCACCATTTTGTCCCTAGTATAGCTTAATAGGGCTTTTTTTCTTTATTACAATAATTACTTCATAAATTGTTTCATTGCTGTCTTTTGTGCTTAACTGAATGTTCAATTCAATTCCATTTATCGCGCTTTTACAATGTAGAGGGTGTCAAAGCAGCTTAACATAGAAGTTCTAGTAAATTAAAACTGTGTCAGTCTAGTTTTTAGAGTTAAAGTTCAGTTAAATTCAGTTCAGTGTGGTTTAAATTTCACTGCTGACAGTCCAAAGACTGAAGAGCAAATCCATCGATGCGCAGGTCCACTAGTCCCAAACCAAGCAAGCCAGTGGCAACAGTGGCGAGGAACAAACTTTACCAATTGATGAATGTAAAAAAATGTAACTAACAAAGAGATTAATTGCACATAAATAAAAATTAAGTCAATAATTAGTGATAATCAATTTGATTCAAACCCATGAGACATTCATTCATATAAAGTTATTTTGAGTGACATCTGTCCAAATAGTCCAAAAAATGCTCCAGAAAGCATATTCAAAACTGTGCATGTGTCTTCACTGGTTTAATCAGAATATTATCAAGCTACAGTGAGTGCACATAAAACAAAAATAACTTAATTCAACAGTTTTTTCTTCCCAGTGTCAGTAAAGGGCACACATTTACGAGCACTCTACACTGATGTATGCTTCAGACAACAGTGCGTGACTGTTTGCAACAAAGCAGAGGTGCATGAGCAGCAGAGCAACTGAGAATGACAAGCATAAAGAGCGCAGTATTCTGGTGAAGGTGCACCATATACTGACACAGAGAGGAAGAAACCGTTGAATAAAGTCCTTATTTTTGTTTTTAGTGAGAACAAAAGTATTCTTTTAGCTTGATAATATTTCAATTGATCCACTGAAGGTATAGGATCTGTTCTGAGGATTTTTTAAAATGATTCTGAAACTTTAACGAGTTGGGAATTTGAACTTTGCTGTCAATGTAGTGTGAGAAATGTATGTAAAATGCCTTAATTTCTATACGCTTATACCTGTTGTATTCAGACACAGGGCTCCAGTCTTTGGCATCTGGGAAGCAGAACTGTGGAATAGCCTTGAGTCTCTGTTCAGCTTCCCTCATCTGCTTGGTGAGTCTCTCTAGCTGTGGGGGTCAGATGAAAAGGCCTAGTAAGAAATCCATCTCAGACTTTTGCACAACATCTTTACAGTGTCCCTCCACTACTATGACAAGTATGTACAGAATATTCATTCACCCCACAATGGGTCAATCCCCCACCACCTACTATGTCAGCATATGCCCTCTGTTCTAGTTTAGAAGCTCAATGACATGTTGACCCTCTGTCGTGTCAACATATTTCAGCCTCTCTAGGGAACACAATCACTGAAGCAGATCTCAGCTAATTAAAGACCTATCTCGGTAACTAAACAGGATTGCTATGGCAACGGTTTCCTGCTTATGCCACTTACTGTCAATATATTCCAATGATAAGAGCTCAAAGCGTCTTTATTTTGAGATATACTTCAAGGAAACGGTGTGACTATTTAAACAAAAACAGGCCAAAACCAAGTTCATTTGGAGTTCATCTTAGAAGTCCGAAACAGCTTGTCAGAAAAGTTTGCTCAGGCTGGTAAACAAGCTGGTAAAGTACATGGTACTACTTACAAATGAAGTTTGGCTTTGCGGCTCCACCTTTTTTAACCCTTTATAGAGCACTCATTGAAATACTCATTGAAAAAAAAAACCTGAAGTGTTCATGGGAGTTATTACAAAGCCTTTTTATTAAAAAATTATATTGTAGAAATATTAAGCATTTTTTTCCTTACTCTAAAACAGAAAGTGCCGTTTCATGGGAGCTCATAATGTTGGAGGCATTGCATATCACAGGACGCTAATCTTTTTCACATATTTTGGGGATGTCCTAATATTAGAAGTTTTTTTGGAAAGGGATACATAGCATTTAAGAGAATATCCTAAATACTTCAATTGATTTCAGCTTTGAGGTTCTTTACATGGGTATGCTGTCAATGATTTTCTTAGAAAGAAAAAAACAAATATATGCATAGAGTCATCTTTGCTTCAAGTAAAAAAGCCATTTCTAGATTTGATTTAATGTTTTGAAAAATATATTCATTAAAGAGAAAATTACACACAGTGTGCATAACGGAAAAGATACATTTGTTGACTTGTGGTATACATTGATTGAGTACTTTCATTCAACCTAATGTGTTTTTTCTATAGACTTTTAAGATTTATTTTTACTGTTAATATTGTTTTTACCCCCTCCCCCCCTTTTCTTTCTTTTGTTTATAGTTTTAATAAGGATGATGTAAAATAAGGCAAAGGCATATGTTATTCTGTTGCTGTCATGAAGAAATGTGTGTTTCCTCTGATGGGGAAATTTAAACAGGAAAAGCTGAAAAAATGTCATGTCTACTGATGCTGTGAATTGTATCTCTCTGCAATAAAAAAAAAACATGTTATTTATGATTATTTACCTGATAAAGGGTAAATGTACAAAACCATGTTGATCAAAATGCTGCTCGCTACCATGTAGACAGCTTTAGGATGTTCTCTAACAATATATCACTGCTCTGTAAACTTCTTAAACATCTTCTTAAAAAATAATAATAACTTTTTTATTCAAGTATATTGGGCCGCTAATGCATAATAGGGCTATGCACAGCTAGAGCTATGCACAGCTAGTGTTTCTTTCCATACCAATAAACTTCATGTAAACGGTTTTAACGAATGTGACTTTTATCAATTTTTAAATGGTTCCTTTAACAGCACTGAAGTTGTAATTAAAAATAATTTTTAATGTAATTAAAATACAATAAGTTAAATAGACCTCACCATTCATTTAGTTGTTCAAGCGTAAAACAAGAAAAAAAAAACTTTTACACAAACGCGCTGTCAGGATTAGCAAGCAAGCACAGACACACCATTGAAAATACTGGGATAAAATCAATTTTCATATTTCAAAGACATGGCACAGAAATGCATAATTTAATGTAGTGCTTCTTGTATATATTATAACGTATATCAATCAGGCAGTGGAGATTGCTGATTTTGAATAAAAACAGACCTTAAACACAGTGGCTGCGTCCGAAAACGCATACTTCCATACTATAAAGTATGCTAAAATCAGTATGCGAGCCGAGTAGTATGTCCGAATTCATAGAATTCGAAAAGCAGTACGCGAGAAGTACCAGGATGACTTACTACTTCCGGCGAGATTCTAGAGTGCACATCCCATGCAGGCTGCAATATCCCATAATGCCCCGCGAGAGAATTTATGAATGGAAATGAGGCGACGCAACTGACGCAAGTAGGTCACATGACCATGACAAAATGGCAGATGTAGTACGTCTGAATTCCATTCATACTTTTCACATTCATACTGTATAGAACGTACTTTTTTAATGGCCAAGTAGTACGTTTAAATTCAAATGCAGTACCTACTAAGTAGAAGGCGGTTTCGGACGCAGCCAGTGATTTTGTGACAGCATACACTTCACCGGAAGTGTTTGACCCAAGTTAATGAAAACTTAAAAGTCCTTCTGCATATACCCTATTGCACACAAAGATATAAAGTACATATTTAACCATTGATAAGTTTTGGTTCAATAAGATTTTTTTTTATCACAAATTTACAAAGTAATTTATTCCAGTATTGGCAAACCTCTACTTCAGTTATGGCTCCACATGCTCCTTTAAAAAATCCAATATGCTTATTTAGTGCTCAAGAACTAAATACAAAAACTGTACTGTTTGGTGTACTTTGGATCAAATAAACACAGGCTTTGTGAGCATAAGAGACTTTTATAAAAAAAAAAAAAAAACATTTAATAGCTTACTGTTCTAAAACTGTTGAGCACCACAATAATAGAAAAAAAACACTCGATATGAAAAACATTTAGAATTTAATAAATATTATTCACAATCATACATCAAAACTTTATCTAATATGTGAGAATTAAGCATAAAAGATGTTTAATAAGACTATTAACTCTGAAACCTTCAGCTAAACATAAAAATCTTATATAATTAATAAAATTAAATCTTCAAGGACAACACATATGAAGAAATGAAGCTAACCGTCGGAAGACTTTACGCACGACACATACACTTAATACACTTCATATACACAGACACCTTTATGCTATAAAACTGCAGGTTAACTATGTCTGTATTTAATAACTTATGCTTGAATGTAACTTTTACTTAATTTAAATGTATTGCAATTATGTGCACCTTTTGTAAAGCTGCTTTGAAACAATAATTATTGTAAAAAGCGTTAAACAAACAAACAAACTTGAATTGAATTAATGTCGGTAGACATTAGATGTTGTGCAGATCATCTTAAATCTAAAACACAATCAGCATCTCTTTGTTTTTTTACAGGGAATATTCACCTTGGGAAACTGGTAGGTAACTTCTGGAGCGTAAGAGTTTTTGGTGGGCTTTTTCTTCAGCGAGACCACCACAAAGTATTCAAAAAGCTCCCTTTCCTGCCACTCAATCAACTGCAGCTCCAGCGTCCTGTAACTGGGTGCGCGTCGCAGGATAGACTGCAGCTTCAGCAACCTCTGAGTGTGTGCTGCATAAAAAACAACACACAGACAGTGCTATTTTCAATAAAAAGTTAAGCTTCAAATATTTCACAAATGATGTTTAACAGAGCAAAGATTTTTTTTCACAGTATGTCTGATCATATTTTTTCTTCTGGAGAAAGTCTTATTTGTTTTATTTCGGCTAGAATAAAAGCAGCTTTTAATTTTTTAAATAACATTTTGAGGTCAAAATTATTAGCCCTCTTAAGCAATATATTATTTCGATAGTCTACAGAACATAACTCCTGCATAACTGTTTGTCGCAAGTTGTAATGAGTAGCACTGGTGTTTCTCAAGGAACAGTTTTAGCTCCATATTTCTTTACATTCAGCTCCAACAATTGTCATCTACAGAAATTTTATGATGACTCTGCAATTGTTGGTTACAAAAAGGATCATGACGGGAGTGAGTATAGGTTGCTTTTAAAAACTTTTGCTGACTGGTGTAAAAAAAAATTTTAATTAAATAAATTACTTAAATAAATACTAATAAGACCATTGTTGATTTTAGTAGACATCTACAACAAGCGGTTCCAGTGATTATACAGAAGTCAGCAATTGAGATTGTTTCATCATATAGGTCCCTGAGTGTATATCTGAATAACAAGTTCGATTGGTCTGAAAATACAATTCAGGTGTAAAAGAAGGGGCAGAGTTGTATTCATTTGTTAAGACGACTGATGTTCTTTGGTGTGTGTCAAAACCGCAGTATGAATGTCATTTTATTATTGTTTTTATATATATGTAACTTATTTTATCTATTTTTAGTATGGAAAGCTCTGCTGTGACATGTGAATTTCCCTTTGGGATTTATACAGTCGAACAAAACAAAACAAAAACCATCATTATACTTGCCTAATTACCCTAATTTGCCTAGTTAACCTTATTAACCTAGTGTTTTAAGCTAAATACTGGTCTCTTGAAAAATATCTACTTAAATAGTGTGCACTCCCATCAAGATAAAAGAAATCAGTTATTAGAAATTAACCTATTATAAACTATTATGTTTAGAAATGTGTTGAGGTAAACACCTGATAAAAAACATACAAGGGACTAATAATTCAGGAGGGCTAATAATTCTGACTTTAACTGTATATATATTATTAGTAATGATGCTGCACAGATTTTACATTTACTTGTGACAAATCACAAGGCCATGTGATGTTGTTTGTGCAGTCTTTGAGCAGAAGTCAACTCAAACACACTGTCCACTCAGCCATATGTGCTGATGCCTCACCTTTGAACCTGTCGTCAGAGTCACTTTCACTCTCGCTGTTGTCATCTGCAAACAGAGAATATGTCAGATGGTCCACAGACAACATTTTTTGGGTTTGGACTTGAACAAGCTAAAATGTGTACCTCGTAAAGATGCAGTTTCTATGTTTGAAAGTGAAAGCTTCTTTAGCCTCTTCTTGCCTCTTTTGGTACAGTAGATAGAGTTTATTCTCAACACCACCTATTAAAGAAAACAAAGCATTACAGCAAAATTGAAAATGACTTTTAAACTGCCACTTATGTACACACAGTTACTCTGGAATGTTAGGAAGTTTTGCTAAATAATATTTTTAAGGGGTGTTGTGTATTGATTGTAGCTATCAGTGAGCTCCTAAAAGCCACTGGGACCACTCTATAGCAACTTGTAAAACGTCTAGAAAGGGGAAAACAGTGAAACTGAATCTTTCTGTGCTTCAGGGCATTTTTTTTTTTTTTTTTTGAGAGTGGTTATGCGAACTTGAGCAATAGACTCTGGGTCTTTCACTTTTCTATTTAAACCCTGGCTGCAGCATATCAACACTGACAATAAAATTGTGTGTGGTTGAAGGTTTTTTCCCTACAAAAACATTCAGAAGCAGTGGGAAAAAAGTAGCTGGAAGGCAAACTGGTCTGCTACACCTAGCTCTGAACAACTGTCAACTTTTGAAGTGTGTTCACACGTGGCAGGTTTGGTTCATTTAAAACAAACTTTGGTCCAGTCGCTGTTAAAGTGGTTTATTTGAGTAAAGTTTGAACACTGTCATCTGAATCCTGGTACAAAATAAATAAGTGTGATGAGACCGTGAAAAAAGATGTGTCACAGTATACTTTCAAATAAACTCTGGTGTGATTCAGCTGAAATATACCAACAAAAGACATCCAAATGAACCAAAAACAAACATGAAGATTCATTCATTTTCTTTCGGTTTAATCCCTTTATTAATCAGGGGTCCACACAGCGGAATGAACCACCAACTTAGCCAGCATATGTTTTACACAGTGGATGCCCTTCCAGCTGCAACCAAGTGCAGTAAAACATCCATACACACCCTTTCACACACTTACACTACAGTCTGTCTTTTGACCGTGGGGGAAACCGGAGCATGAACATGGGAAGAACATGCAAACTCCACAAAAAAATGCCAACTGACCCAGCTGGGACTCAAAACAATGACCTTCTTGCTGAGCCATATCACAATTTTGAGCCGTGTTTTCCATATCACAAAATATGTCCACAAAAAGACAGAATGCCTAAGCAGATCTATTTTTATTATCATAGTAGCTACGTTTCCAGTACAGGGTGTCAGAGAAGTCTTCTTACAGCAGAAAAGCAAACCAGGACTAAACATAATATTTTTTTCTTTAGGTCTGGACCAAAAAGAACAAGAGAATTAAACTAGTGTGAACCTACCCTTAATGTAAAAACAGTGTCAAAATACAGTGTACACATATATACAGTGTATTTATTTCTGTTTTGCTGTTCTCACTAGAACAAAAGAAATTCGCGTTATATCCTAAACAGTATCACTGCATATGGTGTCTGATTATATCTGATTATTTCTGATTATGGATACCACTTGTGTCTGATTTAGCTGTCTTTCTTTTCATTAAAGATTATGAGCTCTATTTAAACAATCTAGACACAAAGTCTAAAGCGCATGGCACAAAAGCATAAAGGGCATGTTTGAATCCACTTTTGTTATTTTAAGGATGGAAAAATACCCTAAGAGGGTTGTGCTTTTTCTCTTAATGTGTTATGGGTGTGTTTTGAGCATAATGTGCATTAAACCAATCAGAGTTTCATCTCCAATTCCCTCTAAGAGTCAGTTATGTCATGCCATAGCACATTTGCTATTTATATGGCGGACTTTGTAACTAAAAAAACGGAATGCTTCACAAGTGAGAAAACAGTTAAATAGAGCATCTGCAGTGCGAGGATAAAGAACAAGCCTTCTCCATTCGGCCTCTTTACTTTCTCTTTACTTTACTTTTACTCTTTACTCCTTTCTTTCGTGGAACTTTCAGCAAACGAATAAATGAGCAATAATAATGAAGTGTGGCAAAAAAACAATATATATGTAAATATCCAAACACTCGTCCTATTCTTATGCATATAATAAATAATACTGCTAATAACAATAACATCATAATATAAATGAAAATTGTCATGAATAAACTGAGAAAAGCCTCCCGGATATGAAATAGGCATGGAGGTAGTGGTTTAAATTGAATTAATAATTTTGTAACATTTTAATCCTTTACTTTTTTCATATATAAAGATATTTGTGTGTGTATTAGGCGTTTGAACCTACATGGGCGCACAACTAACGCGCTCTGCACTGGACTTTACAAATGCTTTTACTTGGTTAAAGGCACAGTCTATTTCAGTTTCTCAGAATAACATAGCAATGTGCCAACAATGCGCCTTAATACACCTCCTTTTTAGACCAGAACACCCCTGAGTCCACAAAGTAGCGCAAATGGATTTACTATTTAAACAATGTGGTGCAAAACGTGAAAACTAGGGTTGCGCTGGTCTGAAAATATCAACAAATCGCGTCAAACACGTCTTGCGCCTTTTTGCGCCGGGTGTATGATAGAGCCCTACATACACAGAAAGCACACAGATCTGAAAATCCATTATCCAATCATCTTGAAACAGGGTTTCCCAAACTAGGGTTCTTGAGGTAAATGCAGGGAAACTGTGAGTTTATAATTAACAAAAAACAATAAACATTGTTCATAATAAACAATGACAAATCTAAATAATACGCTTAAAAAAACTTTTAACAGATGAGAGAATGAACACACCCAAATGTGTTGTCAAATTATTTAAATAGCAGCCTCACATTTCAAATAGAATACCTTAATATTCCAGAGTTTACGCTAAACATATATTTTAGATAAACGTGACTTGGCTGACAAAAAAAAAGTTTGGGAATCCCTCCATTAAACATCATGAATCATGAGAAAAAGAAATGACTACAAGGTCACTCCACATCATTCTATCCTCACTGTTTACCTTGGGGACTCGTTTCTGCCTGTGGGAGGCCAAGGTATCGGTGGAAGGGTTCAGGCTGTCATCTAATAGGCCACAGGGGGAGGAAGGCATGCCCAGCTGGGGGAGCAGCAGCATGTCATCATGACTGTGCCTCTTAGACAGACGGGACGGGCGCTGGCTCTTCCTGTCAGCAGGACCTGGCAGCCGCAGAGACTGACTGCTCGGTTTAGAGGGCAGCTGGTGAAACGGAGGATGATAAGAAATGAATTGATTAGCATAACTAAAAGATGCAGACAGTAAAATTTGTGCATTTAAAGAGTACAGTAGGATATGTACAAGAAATCAGGTAAATTTAAGACCTTTTTTAAAATTCCTTACATACATTTTAAGACTTCATCACCACACCGTTTTAACAAGTTACACTGGCAATAGTTTAATCTAAATTTACTAAATATTGATCTGTGAATATTGATAATGATTAATGCAACATAATTGAGAGAAAGTGGGAATGAAGCACAAGATATTTAATTGAGTGACTTATGCAAAAAATATTCAAATATACATTAGAATATTACATAAAGAAACCAGAAACAAGAACTACACCAATGGTGCTGATTCAGTACGTGGGGCTTCAGCAAACTCCCTGACCTTTAAATGAACTAATGAAACTTTAGTTTCCACTTTAATACAACTCAAAACATTTATCTAAACATACAATGATTTAGTTGCTTCTACATTTTTCATGACAGGTTGAATTTAAACAGTACTTGTTCCAACTTATTATCCTTCAACCGTTTACACAAAAAACTTGCATTTCTACATTAGTTAATTAATGTTTAAACAACCAGGCTTGACAGAACTTGTGCTGTCATGTAGCAGTCGCGGAACCAAAGGAATTAAAACTACACAGAATCCCACTAATTGCCTATGCAATGATTAAATTCTGTCAAGCTTTAGCATAATTTGAATTTATTTTATTTAACAGGGACAATGCTCATTAATCAACAGTAAAACTGTAAATAAGCCAGAGTTAGCTACAAGGGCTAATTTTCATCTGTTGCCCCCTGCCAGATTTTAAAAGGCAACCTAAAATAAAAAAACACATCATCACACATACAAAACAGTAAAGTTACATATGACAAAAGGAAAAAAAACATGTAATAAGAATTTCTTAAAATGTTAGACAAAAGTGTTACACATGATTACAAACTTGATTTGCTTTTAGCCATTTTTTTAACTTGTATTTAAAAGTAGAATAATTTGTAACACCCCTTAAATCAATCGGAAGTGTGATCTAAGACCTCTTTGTAAAAATATCATCTAAAGTATTATGAAAAAAGTATACAAAACGTAATACTTTTTAAAAAGACATTTAAAGGAACACTAGACTTTTTTGGAAACAGGATCATTTTACAAGTCCCCTAGAGAAAAACAGTTGAGTCAGTAATATTTCTGGATCCATTAACCTGATCTCCGGGTCTGGCGGGAGCACTTTTAGCATAGCTTAGCATAAATCATTGAATCGGATTAGCAGTTTACTCAAAAATTGCAACAACAAAAAAATCCCACCAAACCCAGAAATCAGCTGAAGAGATTTAAAAATCTGTTTAACTCTAGGGTAGTTATTATGCATATAATATTCACAAAATAAACTGGATTGTTCCACTTTAAAATCATTTCAAGGGTCTAATTGTCTCTAAATTGATTTATGATCTTTTTAAGACCCTTCAGCCACTCTTAGTACAGTATGCTGAAAAAAAACTATTTCGTAAAAGGCACTAATTCACTGTAATTTTACATAAATCTCATATTGAAAAGCAGGTGCTCTCATCACTATCACTGACACAGCCAAAGAAACTACCTGGGGAGGTGTTATGGACTTCCTTTCTTGGGAGGTCCACATCCTGTTGAGTGAATCCCGGGACCTCTCGGGTAACAGGCGGGAATTTCTGGCCAGACATCTCCTCACTGGATCTACATCCTCATATGGATTCTCTTTCTCTGTTTGCAGAGGAACAGAGGACAGAGAGAGCACAAGTCAGACTAAAACCAAACACCAGCTGCCCAGGAGGCAACTTGAAAGGTAGCGAGGTAACATGCCTTCTTAAGGAGTGAGTGGGAGAGAGAGAGAGACGAGCTGATAGGGAAAGGGCGAGCGGAGGGTATGGAAGGCGGTGGAAGATGATAATGAAAAAGAGGGAGCCGGAGGCACCCAACGGGGCAGCTATTGAATGCTGGGAAAGGATTATTCATGGAAGTTTACTGCTGGCGTGCTTGAAACTCAAGTGCATCGTTTCCAAAAACAGTTTCTGTTGGACATAAGCCTTTGGACAGCACTCTGTCTCCTAAAATAAGGGCCAGTGATGAGTCAAGATAAGAGAATGCAGACAGTGCAGAACCTTCAGCTGGCTCCGCACAAGACTCCACAATAACAGTAAAAACTAACATTTAGAGTTTGTCAAAACGTGTCGAGGACGAATCTTCTTTTTGCTAACATGTTTTCTCATGCAAAAGGGTGGACTGCTTCTTCGTTAATCACCTCAGGATACAAATAAATTTGTGCTCTTATCTGTTAAGAAACTTTGGCAGGCTGATGGGACGCGATGACCTGAATTGAGGCCGCAAGATGTTTTAATGTGGAGCCATGTATGAAAGAAGAACAAATAGCTGCTCTAGACTTATTCTTCTGCTAATAGCAGAAATTAATTAGGTTATGCTTCGGGTCTGCAAGATGTTTTAATGTTGAAAAAAGAGCAGTAAATAGAACTGAGACGCTAATAGTGCAGCCTTCTGTGTCTCATTATTCTCCAGAAATCCTTCTAATACTTTGACTTGGTGTTCGAGAAACATTACTGATTATTATAAATATTTATAATTTTATTATTGCTATCAAAACAGATGTGCAGCTAAACATGTTTGTGTACACATTTATTTTAGTCTTCACAATTAAAAATGAGCAATATAGTCGTTTCTTTTTTAAAGCTTATTGATTCAAACTTTTTTCAACAATCTTTTTATTGAGATCTAAAAAAATATGACAGCATAATATCAAAACCATATTTACATATTTGCTTTTAATTTAGAAGACTTAAACAAAAATAATAGGGTAAAAACAAAAGGAAATATTAAAAAAAAGAAATAAAAAGGGAAGGGGGCAGAGGTTGTTTAAATCAATAACAGATTATTTTAGAAAAAACATTAGGAAGAAATTGTTGAAAATGCAAATCGTCTACGGAAGGCATGCGCCACACCATCAATATGACAATGGCTTGTTTAAATATTTTAAACTTTCTTAAAATAAATATTGAAAGTTAAATTAAATATTAGCAAATGTTGGCAAAAAAATTCAATGGACAAAAAACTGTGCTGCTCATATAAAATCTGGTTATTGCATCTGTTTCTGTCAGCAGCTGCTCAATATAATGAAAACCTATAATAAGAATTATTCTTTTTCTTGTCACCAATACCTGTCAACACATAATAACAAAACCAACAATCTCAATTCTGCCAATCTCTATATGATGTAATAGCAGTTGTGCAGATCCCCACACAAAACAGTGCCCCACTTTACTATTGTCTTCTTCTTGTAAGACATTGGCATATCACACACACTTGTTCTGTTTCCCTCCACTAGATACACAACATAGGCCTTATTACTAAAACATCCTTACTCGAATACCTTTCTTATCTGTGCAGTAATCATGCCAGTTTCAGTTAGAGACTTGAATATTTGCCTGCAATTTTTCTGTAATACACCTCCAGCTTCCTTTAAAAAAGCAATCAAATCTGTCCAATTCATGTTGCATCTTGTATTTGAAAACATTACCAACCATTTTGCAATATGCATTACACATTACCACTTTAGCAAGACAAAACACATGTCAACACTGTCAAAAACACCCCTAAGTGAACCTGGCCATAACAATCAAAGACATTAAGTCTTTGAAAAAGCTTGGGAGAATGCAAAAAAGGCACTATACTATCAAAATAGCAGCTAACTACAACAGCCTGACATCACGAAATGCACTGCTGAAATGTGCCCTAGTTCCATTAAGGCTGAGAGACACAATGACAGGCCAACAATTGCCCAGAGTGCTCTGTGAGGCTCCCAAACGAATCCGTGTAATGACAGCATGTTGTAGAAATGATACGCCTTCTTGACCACTCACGTACAAGAGGGTACTAATCAACTCCTCTACTTACAGGAGCTCCGCAAAACACACAGACGAAAGCAGAAAAAGCGGGCACCCCAAACCAAAACACATACTGTGCTCCTGTTTACACAATAGGATTTCAAAGGGAAGGACGTTCAGTGTTTTATGAGTGACCGAGCAGTAAGCTGTGTGCAGTACGCAGCCGTTTTATGGCCATTTTGCAGTCTCCGCCATGCAGTCATGTGAGATAAGGAATGGGCCTCAGATGAAATGGCTCTGTGATGTGTAGACAAGCAGAATACACTTTTTGTTTGGAAAAGATAAGAAAATGAAATGAGGGATGGGTAGTCTATTAAAAAATATTTACACAACAATCTGACCATTAAGCCAGAAGCATTTGCTAAGGTATGAATGCAGTAGGTTTGACACAAATGAAGTCATTTTTATTTCATGTGTTTGGTGGTTCATTCCGCTGTGGTGAACCCTGATAAACCAGGGACTATGCCAAAAGAAAGTGAGGATGTTGTATTTTGGGTGGAAATGAAAATCAGGTTGACATCAAAATCCAAGTCAGATCGACGTCAGACAGACATTGGATTTTGGTCACTTTCCAACGTATCATTAAAACAACCCAATATAAACACCTTATGGTGTTACAGCATGACGTTGTGCGGACATTACCACTATGATATCTATCAGACATGTTGGTTGCCATAACCAACGAATCAATGTCAGTATTTGAGGTCAATATGATGTTGGTTTAACGTTGGATTTTGGTCACTTTCCAACACAACCTAAATCAACAAAATGTCAATGTCATTTCATGTCGTAATTAGATGTCAAAGTAGCGTTGTCATAAGACACTGGCTAGACATAGAATTTTGGTCACTTTCCAACACAACCTAAAATCTACCGAATATTAACATTTGACGTCGTAATTGGTCATCAAAATAACATTGTTCTTAAGACGCTGGCTAGACATTGAATTTTGGTCACCCGAGATTACGACCTAAATCTAACCTAATGTGAGTTTAAGATGTTTGCTCGACATTGGATTTGGTCCCTTTCCAACACAACCTAAAAACAACCAAGTATCAACATCATTTGACATCTTTATTGAATGTCAAAATAACATTGCCCTTAGACACTGGCTAGACATTGAATATTGGTCACCCGACATCACAACCTAAATCTAACCTAATCTAACCGACCTTTTGTGCCTGCTGGGATGGTTTTAATTCCTATACTTTAAGAAATCATTTTGAATCAATCCACAGATTCCTTTTACAAAATTCTGCATAGAAATAGTTTAAAAATGGCACAGAACCCATGTTGCCAAATTGAAATAATCTAATGTGATACATGTTTTTATTACGATTATAATGTATGTGCAAATGCGTTGAAGTGGTTTTTAAATTATGTCAGATTATTTTGTAGACAGGGATTCAATAACATCTGTACGGATTCAATAACCTACATGCATATCATTACGAAAAAACTAAAAAACATTACCACACAGGCGGAGGAGGTTCACGATATCAAGCGACCGCTAGACATGTTGACAGAGGAAGTTTCTGTTGTTAGACCACAGCAGAAGAGGCTACAAAACATCGAAAAAGATAAGCGGATTCTGCTACTAGAAAATCGGGTGGCTGATCTGAAGCAATTCACCAGGATGAATAAAGTCGTGGTCACCGGATTAAAAATCAAACCCCGCTCGTATGCGCGAGCGGTGACAATGCAGGACAGACCAGAGGTTGACCAGTGGGATGCTACATCGGTGAAACAACACCTGACGGCATTCCTTCACTAAAAGGGGATTGAGTTGAATAGGGATACCGTAGAGGCTTGCCTCCCTCTCTTACAGAGGAGAAAATTGGACAAACCAGCTATAAACATTCATTTCACAAATCTGAGATACAAATTAGAACTGCTCAAGCAGGGCAGAAGATTGAAAGGTACCAATAAAAAACCAGACCACTGTTTTAGAGCCTAAAAATACAACAACTGACAGCAAAACACAACAAAACATGCCATAATAAAGGCATTTTCAATACATAATTGCTGAAAAGCAAGAGCATAGATGATGGGCAAGGTTTTTGCACGCATATGTCAGACCCCTGAGATTTAAAAAAAACGTTTTAAGTTTGATGCTTCGAGTATGTCAGAGCTACACATTACGGCAAAATTGATGCAAAGGCACCAATAATAATTTAATATCGTTGAATACTCTGATCAGCCTGTGCGCTATTGCCACATTTGGTGTTTGGTGTATTATTTTCCAGATTATTCACTAAATAGCGCTCTGAGATCAGGTGAGAATTACAACCACAAATGTCTCAGTGATTTAAACTTGTTTAAAGCCAAATAAATCAGAGCTGTCATTCTCATAAGCACTGTTCCATAAAAAAAAGTGCAGAAACATTGTGAAACTGTGATCCAGTTTGAAGGCATTTCAGTACACCTGTCAAACACATTAACCATGGTTTAGTGACCTAAGTATTGCGCCAGAAATGTGTTATTTCATTTCAAATTGTAATAATGTATTAAATGCACAAAAGGTGTAATGAAATAAATAACTACAGTGTTTTTGATTATATCAGCTGCGCGTTACTTTTACAATGACAGTGAGGTGTTATGATTTTCAAATGTATAAAATAACACGCTACTAAAATATTTTAAGAATGGTATGGAACTGTTTTTATTTTTGCTAATGAATTGGAACGTACATCAACACAAGCTCCAGAAAGTTTCTCTCACCTCGTACTTTAAAAAACAAGACTTGCAATGTAAAGTGCAGCATTACAATGCTGTTACAAGTACAGCATTATCAGGTGTTGGTGCCACAATCTTCTCAAACATTAGTCTGGAGCCCCCTTGTGAACGTGTAAAAAAAATAAGGGTTAGTTTGGCCTTTATGGCCACTTATAAGACCCTCGGTAAGGGCTGAAGGAAGGAGGCCTTTGTTAGAAACTGTATATCATTGTGACATGAATAGGTTCCCCTACAAGCAATTTACCTCATAGCAAATGTAATATGACCCGGCCATCTGGAGATATTTGGCCAATCCATTATCACTCTACTAATGTGCATTGCATATGGGGGGGATATGTCAGACATGCCACCAGGCGAGACAGGCTCTGAGCCAAAATGCAATGTAGGTTCAACCTGTCACAGACTAACATATGTATATCATAAATAATGTTTATGTTTTTAAAAACTAACATTTTATTAGCAAACAGGGTTGAAACCATGGGTTGTTTGGTGACTTGTTCTAGTACTTTTGGAGACTACCCTTAGATGCTTCTGTCAGACTCCACCAATACTAAACTAAATGGACGTGGCATAGAAGCCACATATATTTCTCTGGAACTAATCAGTATTCACAAAAATGTATAACCCCAATGCATGATCCCACACCCGAGGTGTTCACTGGAACAATGGAACCTTTGTCGGGAGGAAAAGGCTGATAGTCACCCACTTTCCCAACCGCTAGAGACTCATGCGCCGCCTGGACCCAGCGGTCATCATCATTTTTAGAACAACACACAGTGAAGCCTGTATTCTTGGCTTCAGAGCAGATGTAACAACGTATAAACTTCAAGCCAACCAGACCACAAACTCCTTCTGCTCTTTTGCCAACTGGGCACTTACTCAGCCAGACTTCTTTACAGCACCTGATGCCCCAGCCTCATCAGCAATAGCAAGACACAGATTTATAGTCTGGCCACAGGGCAAGACCCGTGAACACTGTAACAATGTCAAGCACCCCAGGGTCTGAGCATTAGTGCATACAGACTATTTCCTGCCAGGAAGGAATTTAGCACATAAAATTAGCCAGCGCCACATGCCAGTGCTTCATCACCTTCAGTAGACAAAAAGAGGATTTAACCAGGGCTTGTGTAAAATACAAAGTTCTGTCATGAAACTCTATGCGTGCGGAGGCTGCTAGGTCACACCAATAAGCCAATGAGCTTGCTACTCAACATTTTAAATGCCTTGTTTACGTTAAGAATATGCAGAACATTTCAAAGACCCTCCACCACCCCAGCTCCACCTGTGTTTAGATCTGCCATCATGTATTTAATATAATATTTGCAGCAATAGTATGTTACATTCTCAGACTCATATACTACCCGCTTAGAATGTTATCACTTGATTGAATAGGTGTTATCAGTGGTTATCAGCTAATAGATATGGGTCAGTTGGGGCCTTCTGCACCTACTGGTAGGCTCAGAAGGCTGTTATCATCCATACACATGGTTAATTAGCTATACTAATAGAGAAGACTCCAGATTCAGATCTGTTTTTACATTAATGTGTTGGTTGGGTTTAGGGTTGGGGTTGGGGTAGATGTCAATAAATTACAGTTAATGGGATATTCAATAAATATCATAAATAATTATTCTGGTTAAATAGCTATACTAAAAGAGAAGACTCCAGATCCATATCTGTTTTACATTACTATTTCGGTTGGGTTTAGTTTTGGGGGTAGGGGTAGACATTAATAAAATACAATTCATATGAAATTTATATATAAATAATAAATAATAAAAATAATTCTCGTTAACTTCCAGCCGCAGCAGTATGTGATCTAAAGCTAATTAACCATGTGGATGGATGATAACAGCGTTCTGAGCCTACCAGTAGGCCCATATCTATCCGCTGATAACCACTGCTAACGCCTATTCAATGATAACATTCAAATCAGCTGCATTTACTAGCAGTAGCAAGTCTGGGTACTTGATCAACCATAATAATCAAAGCAGCAGCAGCAAACACAAGACCAAACACATCAACGTTGATACACAGTTGATTTTATTTTCTTTTTAAATATTTCCTGAAAGATGTTTAACAGAGCAAGGACATTTTCACAGTATGTCTGATAATATTTTTTCTTCTGGAGAAAGTCTTATTTGTTTTATTTCAGCTAGAATAGAAGCAGTTTTTAATTTATTAAAAACGATTTCAATGTATATAGTATTAGCCCCTTTAAGCTATATTATTTTTCGATATACAGAAAAAACATCATTATACAATAACTTGCCTAATTACCCTAACGTACCTAGTTTACCTAATTACCCTAGTTAACTCTTTAATTGTGACTTTAAGCTGTATAGAAGTGTCTTCAAAAATATCTAGCCAAATTTTATTTACTGTCATCATGGCAAAGATAAAATAAATCTGTTATTAGAGATAAGTTATTAGAACTATTATGTTTAGAATTGTGTTACAAAAAAATCTTCTCTCGGTTAAACAGAAATTGGGGGGAAATAACGGGGGCTAATAATTCTGACTTCAACTGTACATATTTATTACTATACTAAATCTCTAAAAAAAAAAAAAAAAGAAAAAGCTGTCATGACAGAATTGTATTTATTGTCAGCAGACAACAAATAGTATTAAAAAATATGTTTTTTACATTTTATTTGAGACATTCATAGAAAATCACATTTTATTTATTTATAGATTTTCTAAAATAAAATTACAAAACAAGAAGACCTAAAATAATTTCTATATCACAATATCCGATAAAATGTATAATAAAAAGATAATATGTTAAATACTATAATAGACAAATATATAAGCTGTACAAAATATTAAAATATGAATATATATAGTTTTTTAAAAACTGTAAATATAAAAAAATTTAATTATCAATTTAAAAATGACAAGAATAAAAATGTTATGTACTATATATTATACTTGCTTAAATGCTTCATTATAAACAGTGAAAGTATATCAAATTTAAAACTAATTTGTTCTTTAAAAAATTTTCAACACCATTAATAAAATAAAATTATTTTTTTCAAAATCCCTAAATCATTTTAATATTCATCTGCTACATATTTAGGCTACAATCAAAAGAAAGCAACTGTTATCTGGTCTTACCCACTATGTCCTCATAGGCGTTTTCCTCTAGCGTGCTCTTGGAGCTGGGCCGACTGTGGTTTACTGTGCCATTTTCTGTGGGTGAGGAAGGCAGACTGACAGCATCTTCTGACTCACATGACTCTCTACAAACAAACAGAGATAAAGTCAAAACACAGCTTTTGGACATCACCCTTCTGAATAAGTGACGAGCAGTTCTGTTTTGCTCAAGGCAAAACCTTTTAATTGAATGATCACAATCAGGCCAGACGGCCAGAGAAGATGAAAGATGAATCACTTATGAAGGTCTTTAATACATCCAGTCACCTAACAGTCCTACCATAATGTAATGATGCTTTTCCACTGCAAGGTACAGCTTAGTACAGCTCACTTGCTGGTGTGTTTCCACTGTGTACAGTAGAGATGCCCAAACTAGGGCCCGTGGGCAAAAGTTCCATCCCATCCCTTCTGAGAAGAGTGATGAGTATGATGGGGATGGTATCGATATTGGCCATTCAAATTAAATGCAACCATTTGTTTGTTTGTTTGTTTTATTGTTAAAAGCTAACTGAAATTAAATGTTTCTATTAAATGGTGTAAATTTATCTAATTTTGTTTAAATGTACATACTGTCACCTGACAATGCAGAGACTTTGTTGAGCAAATCAAGTCAATGGCAGGTTATGCTTGACTAGTGTATTCAGCATTGAACTCCACAGTGCTATAAATGTGATTCATTATTAATCTGGAGTCGCCACAGTGGAATGACCCGCCAACTTATCCAGCATTTGTTTTACGCAGCGGATGCCCTTCTAGCCGCAACCTATCACTGGGAAACCCAAACACACTCATTCGCACAAATACATACAATTCGGACAATTTGGCTTACCCAAATTACCTGTACCGCATGTCTTTGGACTTGTAGGGGAAACCGGAGCTCCCGGAGAAATTTGTTTATTGTTTATGTTTTTATTGCAATTTGTTGCCAATTGAAAAAAGTTATACAGCATTAGTTAATATTATTTAATGTGATATTTTCTATTTATTTTTAAATATTCTGAAATGAATTAGGAAATTACCCACCTTTAATGTAATATAGTTTGGTATATTTACCTTCAGCCCATGGCTATCTATTATATTTGGTTTTTGGCCCTTCATACGAAAAGGTTTGGGCACCCCTGGTGTAGAGTAATTTGCACTAGGTACTTTATTAGTTGTCCGAAATCGCCTACTATTCAAGGAGTTAGATGATCGTTAGAAAAGTACATTTTATATAGTATGAACTTGAGTAGTATGAATGGAATTTGGATGTACTACATCCTCTATTTGTCATTATCACATGACCTACCTGCGTCGTCGCAATTGTGACGCTTAACTCTCATTCACATATTCTAGTATGTGGCATCAGAATGCATGGGGTTCTTTACATTAAAATGAATGTCATACTTCATATCAGGACATTTATCTTTTTAATATCTAATTACAGCTTCTAAGTGACCTTAAAAATGTTTTATGCCTGTCTGCTTTACTATGCCATTGTATAAACAATACATGATCAGTGGCATTAAGTTATATTAGTATGGCAGTAATAACACATTTTTTTATTGTAATAGGCATACAAACAACACAAGTAGTTCTCACCTCTGACAGGAAGGTAATGTCTTTCTTTTTGTTTAGTTGTGTTTGCATGTACAAATATAACCAAAAAACATGGTTGTAAATCTTAGAAGAAGGTTGAAACCCTAAATTGGCACTTTAACATGACACAATCCAAATGCTTGCCTATATTTTCTAAATGGTTGTCTCTGTACCAGCCACAGGAATGTCAAACATGGGTTCAAGTGCTTAACAGCAGAAATGCTCCAGCGCATGAGGTTCTCCATCACAAGAAACTGGCAGCCCTCCATAACCAGTAACTGGTCTAAACAATACATATGCCAAAGATCATTCCAAAGGCCATGAGGAATATGAGCTATAAACAACATGAGGGCCCTCAGAAGAAAAAAACAGGACCAAGAAGCAGTTTTATATCAACTTAAAGAGAAGATGAAGCAACGTTTCTAAGGTCTTTGAACTTCCAAAACATTTCACTTTCTGTATTCTTTCATCTCACGGCTGAGTGTCTAAAAATAAACTCAAATATGTTTTATGGTACAGCTGAAACTATTGCTGCTGATGCTATTTTTGGACTTCTGATCTAAATTTAGGTCAGAAATTATTAATAAACATTGCCTGTTTCAACAGTGTCAGGTCCAATCTCAATATGATATAAAAAGATACTGTGTCATATACAGAACCAGGCTGTGTAATTGTTTAACATTTGACAAAGCAACAAATTCACCTAATATGGTAAAATTATGAAACTCTGAAAAAAACAAAACTAGCATCTCCATGTTGATCTCTGCTTGCCGTCAAATGCCTGACAGGAAATTTCATTTTGCTTACTTGATTTGTAACATAAGAATCTGTGAAACTGTAGAGGCCAATTCACTGTGAGAGACTATGCAGTCAGAAACAAAAGCCAATAATTCAAAGTCTAGAGCTATATCAACAAAACAAATGCTTGGCCTGTGGTCCTTGTTCTATTCAACATTCTTGAGACAAGCTTTATACACTTTGTTATCCAAGAAAAATAAATGATCTCTTGTTCGTGGGGAAACCGACTAAGTGGCGTAAACAAATTCGTTGTTTCTCAGTCATTTTTGCCGCAGCTGACAAGCTTTTTTCTCTTTCAGCAAAAAATAGGTCTGTCTAGTTTTTAGTTTGAATTAAGATAGATTGAGTTCATTATCCTTAACATTAATGTAAAATGTCTCCCTTAAGCATATTTGAATACAGAGCAAGCCATGATCTATTAACATTGTTACCTTGAGCAAATCACTTGACTTGTTTACCTGCTACATGATTGAATGCTTCTTTCTTTGGATTGATTTACCAATCAAACCACTATTACCAGGACTGCCAATCACACAATGTGAAAAAGAGTCATGTTTCTCACCTGTCTTGAGTCTTCTTAAGCTTACTTTCATCAGTCTTGGAATTTGTCACTATAGCAGGTGCTGGAGTGGAAGGAAGTGGAGGTGGAGATTCAGTTGAGGGAGGTAGTCCATTACCAGGCAGCAAGCTTTTGTGATTCCGGTTCGCATCATACTCAAACGTTCGTTTGGGTTTGGGCAAAGGGTTCACTGTAATTCCAGGAGAGTCCTGTGCAGAAGGGAGTTCTGGGCTCTCTGACCTGGTAGAGCTGATGCTGAATCTTTGCTTGAGCTTGAACAATCTGTCAGACCCAGGAGAGACATCAGGTTCAGTTGCCACAGAGCAGATGCTACTCCGCTTGCTGCCACAAGTGCTATCCAAGTCCTCTGTCCCACTGATGGTAAAAGACTTCTGTCTTGACTTGTCAAGGCCATAGCAATTGCTAAGATACTGTGGTGGGGATGAAGTAGGACTTTCCTTCAAGGCTTGTTCAATTTTTTGAATGCGGCTGAGCACGGCTGAGGTCTCCTTGCGTGCCGAGAATGTGCGGAGGAAAATCCCTGAGGACTCTGTCTTTGAAGGCCTCTTCTGGAACCTTATAGGAGCTTCACGATCTGATGTGTGCTCATCTTCCTCAGTCTCGGGGTAGGAGCACTCAGAAAATGCCGTGCTCATCCTCCTGACCCCTTTAAAGTCAAAGGTCGTCTCACTGCAGGGTGAGGACAGCAGGCTTGGGCAACCCTCGCTCCCACCTCCAGGCCTCTTCTCAAGGCAAAGGCTCATCCTAGACAAAGCCTCCTTCCGACCCTCCCATTGCGAGATCTTTTTGCGTATGGCGATTGATGAGGTGCACGTCCCTGTATGACTGAGTGAGAATGTTCGCTTGTGCCCAAGCTTAGAAGGTCCTACTGAAGTAGTACTTAAGCTGAGCAGTCCAGTATTCAATCCATCCCCAATAGGGGGGGTCTGTTGTGGCTGATTCTCCTTCTGATCCTGCCTATCACCACTTGGTGGCTTATGGATGGTGAGCTTCTTGTCCAGACAGCTAATGCTCCTAGATTTTGTCAGCCTGCTTTGAAATTCAAAGTCAGTGGAGAGCGAGGCGCCACTTCTCAAGCTGGCAGTCTTACAGCTCCAGTTCTTTTGAGTCCAGAGTTTAGCATCAGCTTTACCGTACTTTCCTTGCTGACTGGTATCCTCGCTGCCACTGAGGTAAGAGGAAACTGGCTCTTTTCCAGTAGTAAGAATTGGTGGTGGGGACACAGATTGACACCTAAAAAACAAAGTAAACGAGCAAAGTGTAAGAAACCCTTGTGCTTGATACAGCAAAATATCATTTGTCTCATAATGTTACTGTGAATAAGACACTAATCAAAAAAGATTACTACAAAAGGGGTTCAAATAAGGACAAGTCAATATGACAAGCAACAACATACTACTAGTAATGCAACAAGCTTTTAGATATAAAGCAAAGATCAGTTTATGTATGAAAGATATGGGAAAGAACAACAGCAATCGGAAACAAATGTGGCAGCATAAGAACCAACCACATCAAGCCAGCACAAATAGAATAAATTAAATAATACATAGATTGTTCCACATATACTGATCAGCCCCCCCGCCCCTCCTCAATGAACTCACCCTTAATAACTGTCAGCTTTTTCTCTTAGCCCTGTGTCCTCTGTAGCAACTCTTTCTTTCTGCCTACATGTCACCTTCAGCCTGCTCATCATGACCAAGCCCACCATTCACTTAGCAAACAGACGCTGCTCACTGCTGAGCAATGAGATTAAAGACACTTCAGACCTCATTTCAGTCTTCTCAGACACTTTCTCTTGCGCCTCTAAATGAAATGTTACTCATGAGGTTCCAAGAACTCGACTTAGCCCACACCTCAGTGAAACTGAGGTAGGCGGCTCTGATGTCACAGCGGTGGTTAGAATAACAAGTGCAAGCTGGGAAGAGGCCAAGAGTATGATCCAGGGTGCAGGTTGGGACAGATCAACTAAAAACCTCATCATAACGCCCTTCCCAAGAAAAAGCAAAGAGAACTACCATGCTATTTGTAGCCTTGCAGGTCCTGCAGTCAGCAGCACCCTCACATTCACGAAAGCACCATATTAAAAGTAGAACAATTATATTGGTTATCTGAATTTAACATTTTCCCAGGTTCACTCAAAACAAGCAATTAACCATAATGGCATCATCAGAAGTAGCTATAAAGGACATTACAATCTAAAACTTACAACTACACTACAATCTATAATAAAGGAAGACATATTGAAAAGTAAGTGACTTATAAATACATGAAAGCAGATACATTTATTTATTTTTTTTTTATTTTATTTTTTTATCAAAGCAGTTATTCTGCAAGTATCCATTAAATTATGTAAAATGCTAATTGAGGAGAAAAATCTGAACAATATGATCACATGATGCTAAAGATTGGGGTAAATTCAGCTTTGCCCTCACATTATTAAATAATATTTTATAATTATGCATTCAAATTAATAATACTTAAAATTTTAAAAATAACATACAAGAACATTAGATTTAAAACATTATATTAATATATCCAAACTTTTAAAAAGTTTATATTATCACTTTGATTCATCTACACAAATAATATTATTGAATCCTTAATTTATTCATTCATTTTCACTCATTTTTTACCTAAATTTCTTAAAGGTGCAGTAGGTGATTGCCAAAAACCAGTTAGCATAATATCTTTGAAACAGTTACTCCCCTGCTGTCCAAAGCCAAGCCTCCTGAAATCACGAACACACGCACAGTGACATGACTGCAGACAACCCACTAAATCATGTCATTCACCAGTTACAAATATACTTAGTGGTTTTTCAGCGGTGTACAGGAATTACACTTATTATTAAGCCATACTTACATACTATGTCAGACTGAATATTTAAAGTAGCATGGTAAACAATACAGGGAAAGCGTCACAGGCTGTCAATGTTCATAATGAACCAATGTAAATATATAAACAACTTCAGCTCTGTAAAGCAGGCAAGTGAAATACCACTATTTACTGATGTTTTGTTGTTAAACTAAATAAAAATCTACACTATTACTGCTGTAAAAGGCCCTTATGAAACTGAAAATAGTCACATCAATATTTCGCCGGAAGACTTCAGTGGCTGAACAACACTTCTGTGCATATAACCCTTCATAACAACACAATCTACATAAGTTCTGCATGAATAAAATCCTTTCAAACCGAACAGAGGATTATTAAAAGTTAATAATAAATAATAAAATAATAAATAAATAATAAAAGTGAACAAAGATGCGCAGATGCACAAATCTATATTTGTTGACAGAATTATGGGAAATGTCGGCCCGACGATATTTTATTGGATGAACATTTTTTGGTTTGATCCCCTAATGAGAATATAAAAATAGACAGAAATGCATTTAGATTATTTGACTTTCAATCAGTACAACAAAAAATGTTTCTGAAGACAATGACCTACTACTGCACCTTTAACTAAATGTATAGTCGTGAAACTACTCAAAATCATGTACACAAAAGAACTGATCAGAAGGGAAATAAAGAAATAGGTACAGTACATCCTCTAAAGGCAGAGCTATAAGTCTCTTAACATAAAACAGCGACAGAAAAATGTCATACTTGAGTCAGACTAATATATCACATGTCAAAGTTTCAGCCTTTACAATAGATCCTTGACTTGTGAACAACGATCTAATCCTAGATAATCAAAGGAAAGGGATGAACAGATGCCAAATCTGTCAAAAGGAGACGGATAATATTGTTTAGAAGGACAATCTTTGCAATGAGGGTGGTATTTATGGCACAATGAAACTTCTATAATCTTTGTTCACATGCTTTCTATAGACAAACACTGTATGTCTAAAAATACCTCCACAACTGCCTGGACCACCTCTCCAACAGAGCATGAATGATTGTTTCTATAACTGCACTATTAGGCTCATGCTAAATCCTTTTCACAAAAAGCAAACATAAGTTTGGAAATTCTTTCATTGAGTCCACCGTGAGTTTGCGTCTGTGGTCTGAGGAGGTTCTCTAAGAGGCCGGACAGGGCCAGTAAAAACAGGGCCAGCTCTGGGGAAGCCAGCTGGTCTGGCCACACATGGACCGAATAGGATGCCAGAGCTGGTTTGGCTTCTCCTGGGTCTTGAGGGCAATGTCAACCACAGGCCATTTCCTGTTTGAGAGCTGGGCCAGGATGGTGAAACTATGAGGTTCCAGGCACACACATCAAAAGAAATATGTCAAGCCCAGAGCCAGTGGGTTCTCCCCCACAAAAATGTGGATATTTCATCTATGATTGAGTTATTTTTTCAGCTATTATCTTTGCTATAAAAAGGCCATATACTCAGTGCAAGGCCTACCTACCGCCACCCTCATCTGACATAAATCTGCTTCTTCAGCATTCTCCTTTTTCTTGTGATTTACAGCAGAAGCCGTAATATCCATGTCTAGGAAAAGAGGCTAGCAAAAACTATGCCATCATTTTCCCCCCACACTGCTTCGCATAAATCACAATTTCCTTTGGTAAATATCTCTGACATCAGAGAGTGTTCGTAGGTAATTATGAAAGTAACTCCTCTCTCTCTTCAAAGACTGCTCGTTCTTCACTTGTTCTGATAGCAAGGCTCCACAGTTAAGCAAAGGCCACAAATAGAACAAAGCCTCTTTTCTAATCAACTTCCTGGCTTTTTCTCATAACCAGGATGTTTACTTTAGCTTTGTATACAACCGTTTGGCCTATGAAGCACCGTTGAACTCAATTATCTGTTTCAACTGCTCCTCGATTATGGATAAAAGTTTTGTTATCAGATGCCTTTCAAATATTTACAAGATTTATCATCATTTTCTAAATATAAAACCTACAATATACAGAGATGTCAAATACAGCACATATTAATAAGAATGTTCATACTGTAATTATTACATTGCTTATTTCACCTACTGCTTCGTATGTCTAAGCACTATGAAGCTGATAGATTCTAACTGCCTCTTAATGTTCATCAGTTTAAAAAAAAGAATGTACTCTTTAACTGATTTAAGTGACTTTGTTCCTCTATGACCTGATAGTTAGACTTGTGATTTGGCCAATTCTTAGAAAGTTATCAGTATAGTTATCATTGTTGTGAAACAGCCTTTGGGAGTTGCATCAACTGGTGGTAACTTCATGTATTGTTTCTGCTTTACCACAGTGGTCACAACAGCTTCCTGTAAAACAAACTGAAATAGCACAAACAATGGATAAAGGCTGCTGACTCATCACTATGACTCTCACCTGTCTGAGTTTTCCTGTGAACCTTTAGCCGCTCCTGCTCTTGGTGCAGTTTTGGAGCTCTTGTTGGCAGTCATCTCCCTTTGACAGCCTCCTCACCTGCTTAAAAAAGCATTTATTTTAATAATAAGAAGAAAAAATGTATCATGATCATTCAAGTAAGCAAGCTTTGATTCAACGTGGAAACAAAAACATCATGAGGCTAAACAGCTTCGTGGGAAAAAAAAGACATTGTCTTTACAACTGTGACAGTTAGCGCTTATCTTGATCAGCTAAATACAAAAGTATGTTATGGTAATGGAATAGGCATGTTAATGGAAAATCCAAACAGTAAATGAACACATGCACAATAGTGTTATTGTAAACATCCACTTTGCATTTTCCCGGTGCCATACATTTTTTTTAATTCTCATAAAAACTGATTTTTGAAAATCTAAGATTTTTATTTCTCAGCCTGTATATCTTTTCTCGGCCTCCAAATATAAACAGTTATTGGTTTCAGCCAAAATGTCCATTTTAGTGCATTCCTACATTTCTCATTGGTTCCCTCATAGGTTGGTCAGGTAGTAAGGCTGCACGATTAATTGAAAAAAAGATCACGATCTCGATTCGACCCTATGCACAAACTTTATTCAGCTTTTCTAAGATTTAGCCAACTATATTTTCAAGTTGAGTAGAGAACCATAAAGGCAGTCGCACAAGTCTTCACATTGTTTTAAATACATTGCTCAGCAACATGGATACCTCCAAATGGTGGTAAAAGTGTCACATACTGTATTTCTAAGGTATAATTCACTCAAAAATGTCATGTCTGTCTTAATGTAATGACATATTCACGGCCGCGAAATCTCACATGAGCTGAACAAACACTGTTTGTTTACTACCGAGTGGACGTGTGCATGCCCGCCAATGATTTAGTGAACAGAACCTGCATAGACTGTGAATAACAGGTAATAAAGTGGTAAATAACATTCAGTTTGTTGGACAATTTTTAACAGATATTGCGATTTCAATTTGATTTGGGATTTCATTTTGTAGTCAAGCTTCAGCTCAATATTCTGTATCACAGCTTCTTACTGCTAAATTGCAGCGAGTGTTAGTTAATTGTGATGTTTTTTCATATGGTGTAACAGCTGAAATTGTACTTTGCTAGCAACTAGATTGAGACACTGACAAAACTTTTAGTTGACTTTTTAGCACAACACTCGTAATATAGCCACCTGTGGTGCTTTTTTAGGTTCTGGTTGTTGCATTTCCTTGTGCTGTGGGAACAATTCTGCGACAGCTCTTACAAATGACTTGTTTTTGTTTGGTGTCTGTGACTTTGAAACCAAAATATTCCCGTATTACAGTCTATTAATGTTTCTGAAGTGGCAGACGCCATCATCCCATTCGTCCGCACTTTCCTGTTTGTTTGTTTGCTTGTTTTATTGTGGCCTTTTATAGTTCGGTTGCACAATCCTGATCGGGCAGAACGAAATTGTGCTCACTCAGTTGGCTAGTAAGACTGTCACACACAGACGGCAGTCAAGCATTTGCTCTGGGTGAGGGAACTTAAAAAATACATATATATTTCATATTGCAGCCTCTTGCGATTATCAAGTGTTAGATCGCAATTGCAATTCGATTTCGATTAATCATACAGCCCTAATTTACATGTATGTTTTTTCTCTCAGAGTGATGACAGCCATGACATGAGCGAACTCTGCAGTGAAGAGTAAAACCGAAAGCGTGCACATCCTTTTAATGATTATATCGCATATCATATGAGTCAGTGTTGTGCATGAAAATAAATGTTTACTGGGTCGGTACAACTACTCTAGCCAATATAACATTGAATATAATGCAAGAGGGAATGTGATACTGACAAATGTTTCATTTTACAAGAAAAAAATGGTCTAATAATGTTGTCAATGACAGATTTCAAGCATATGTCTCAAACACAATAATTTAACTTCAGAATTATGAATAGTTGCATTCTGATGTAATTACTATATTGTGAATTAACAACCAGGAAAAAATGTAAAGTCTGTTCAAGTCCACCATTCCAAGTCTATCCAAAATTTAGCATTTTAACCAACAGTAGAACTAAACATAGGCCTAATATTATTAGTGTTGTTTTACCTTAAGTTTGAAAAATAACAATAATAATAACTTGCTCATATTAACCTTTATTATTGACAGAATCATGAGAAAATCGTGATCTTGATTTAAAGCAAAAAAAAAAAAAAATAATTGTGATTCTCATTTTAGCCAGAATCATGCAGCTCTATCAGGTAGCATTTTAGCTGTACATCTGGCCAATGAAAGCTTAAGTCCAGACTTTCTGTACACTCTCAGAAATAAAGGTGGATGTGCTGTCACTGGGGTGGTACCTTTTCAGAAGGTACACGTTTGTAAAGGGTCCATATTGGTACCTCAAAAGTATATATAATAGTACCTAAAAATTTTAAGAGGAACAATTTTATACTTTTTAGGTACTAATATGTACTCTTGAGGTATTATTATAGACATTTTTGGGAACAAATTTGTATCTTTTGAAAAGGTACCACCCTTGTGAAAGCTAACGTACCTTTATTTCTGAGAGTGTAGATAGTCTTGCTACATGAGACTACCATTAGACAGACAATCTTTCTATTAACAACATGTATTAAATGTAGCAGCATTTCAATTCAAAATGGAAACATAATCAGTGGTCAATCTAATAAACATATTGGTAAACAATTCTGTCTAGTAATTATGAGAAAAAAAAAAAGGTTTAGACGTGACACACAATATTTGATATAGTTGGTGGTCCACAAAATGAACTCTTGGATTAACCCCTGTCTGCATGGCAAATATTAAAAACACAACAAATATGGACCCTGATCTCTATGAAAGTCCCATCATCCTTGTTATGCAAACAAATCTCTGGCTCTCACAAAAACACACATACACATTTGATATTGACAGCTCTTGCATGCCTTACGAAATGAGCGGATTTGTGGTTTTTGGTAGAGGTAATAAATCTTGTTTGAGATATATGTAATAACAAATCACCACACAAATCTTTCACAAAAGGATTTTGAGTTTAAACCCATGGAAATGTTTCTTATATAGTATTAGAGTTGTTAACAGGCCATTGATTTTAATAGATTTTTAGAACATTGCTATTCAGTTACTAGGAAGTTATGGTCAGTTGCTAACTGGTCCATGTAAAAAAACACACTCAAGTCATCCACTGCTTTAACATTCAGAATTTTTGCACCTATTAACCACCAGATGAATAAACTAAACTAGGTTCCCCCCTAAAAAATGAGAAGCAAACATTGGCTTTAGTGTTTTTTGATATCTGACCCCCACGTTTGAGTAACAATAATAGTTCTTCCTGCCAAGCACCACTAATTATAGCAACATTAAATTGTGAATTGATTTCAACAATCCCAAAATGTGCCGTCAAATGAACAGCAGCACTAAGACCTGAAGGTAATTACAGAGCAGGTTTACATGGCCTGTTAGCAAAAGAGAGGTTCTTAAAAAATCTGTTTGTAGAATCAGAGAGTCATGCCAAATGCCTTAAGTCTATGAAGAAATGTTTGGAGTGTGTTTGTATGAACGTCTGTTTGAATAGAGTAGCCAAGATTAACAGAGCTGAGCGAGTCTCTTGGCTCATTAAATAGTGATTGCTTTTTCCCATGAACATTTGCACCTAAGGACTAAAAAAAGACCCGGCTTAACGACAGATATTAGTTTTACAAGCTGGGTCGGGGAGTTGTGGTTTGGGAGCTTTGGGCACATGGGAACTCACTCAGGTTGATTGTTGAGAAATAGGTGGCTGCTTTTTCATTTTGCCAGCTGAAGTAGTAAATCAGGTTTAAAAGGCCATGCTTTGCACAGCGAGTCCCTTGAATGATTTTCAAATTTATTTCTAGTTTAATATCCCAAAATCTATTGACAGAATATGAGGCTAAATACAATTCAAGTTCAACTTACAAAAGTGATGACAGTGAAGGATTACAACAAAAATTCGATTAGTCCTTTAAAAAAAACATCTTGTATTGAGGAAGTAAACGCCATATCACAATCTTTCAGTTTTAGACCACAGTTTCAGTGGCTTTGCTGCCATGACAAGATTACCCTAAGACAAGTTTAACAATAAAATACATATGGTTCTATAAAAATGTATATTGTAGACTAAATTAGACTGCATTTTAAAGGTTCTGTAATTTTAAGTAGGGATGCACCGATACCATTTTTTGGAACCAATCCGATCCCGATACCAAAATTATTGACCGATACAGATCAGATACTGTGCCACTTTTTTAAAGCATAATACAGTTTCTATAGTTCTGATGATAAACTCAAATAATATATCTTATTTAGTAAAGATAACAGTCATATAGGCCTACTGTATTTGACAAACAACACAATCTAACTAAGAACATGAACTAGTAAACCAATTGCTATAAACTAGGCTAAATTATTTGATCATTCGTTATGACATTGATCTGTTGTGGTCCAGCTTATGTTTCCTTTTTTTAATTAAGATTTTTCTTTGAAATCTGTAATAGGCTACCACTATTGATCCTAATCGTTGGTAAAATAACCAGCCTTTTAACAAAGCCTGATATTTAATGCAGACTAAACTAAACTATCTGAAGCCAGTTTTACTTAATAAACATTGTCTTTTCTGTTAATGACAATCCCTATCGCGGCCATCAGTCTCACTTTTATTAATTCAATCAACTACTTTGACCACGATGAGCCAGGCATTGCAAAATATTTGTAGCACTAAAGATTCCCATCGGAAGAATAAACTTGGTCGGAAAGATGAGAGAACAGAATTTTTCTAAATTTCCTCATTGTGAGGATAATTTTACACAACGTGTTTGCATGACCAGTGTGTGAATAAAAAGCAGATCTCCAGTATGTGCGGACACTTTCAAAACTTTGCAGCACAAATGGAAGAAATGAGTGCATTGGAGATCTGTCAAATGTATTATTGAGCCTTTTCGAATTTAACATTTTAGGTAGGCCTCATTTGTGTGTGAAGAGCAGGTAATAACCCTCTCTACTCCAGTGTTGCAGCACAATATAATTTAGAAACAGCAATGAACTCC